ATCACAATACAACAACATCACAATATACAACAAACATCACAACAACATCACAACAACAAAACATCACAACAACAACATCACAATACAACACAACAACATCACAACAACAAAACATCACAACACAACTCTACCAGCAGTAGGAAACACAACATCACAGAACAACAACACAACATGCAGAGATTCATGACAGGAAACAGAAAAACGCCCTGAGACTCACCGTCACTGGACTCCACCTCCTCTTCTTCATCCTCCTCTTCATACTCCTCCTCCTCCTCCCTCAGGTGGAGGTGCTGCTGCAGAGTTTCCCTCCATGAAGCTTTGGCCTCTTCTGAAGTCACACGATGACGATGACCCCGGCCTTCCTCCTCTTCCTCCATCTCTGACTCTGAACTGAAGCAGACAAACACAAGAGACTGTTGAGGAGGGAGGAGGGAGGAGACGAGAGGTATGGAAGATCAATACTACCAGTAAATTAAATAAATATTATTCATACATTTTTCAATTTGACATAAAAATAATAAAAATAAAAAAGTCAAGACTTTTTTTTTTTTAACTTAAAACGTCACTTTTTAGATTTAATCATGAGCTTTATTTAAAATATATTTATATCTAAACCTCATAAGGTAACATTTTAAAGTTATAATCCTGACTTGAACTTTTATAATGATGTTGTCGACAGACATAACGATCAGCAGAACTATTCAATGTTTTAATCAGATAGAAACCATCAAAACTCTGGTTTAGTCTCATTTTCAGGACAACCGCTCAGAGTTGTGGACTGTCCTTAAATTTGATAAGCGATGAGTGAGAGGGATTCTTTTTGTATCATTGCTTTTACAGAAAATTGTTGCATATAATACCTTTAATCTTAAAAGTCAGAATTTCTGCATAGAAAGTCATATTGTTTGACTTGTCTCTATACGTTGTCTTCTCTTGAGTGTCTATCATCTATTTTGTATCTTCTCTTGGCGTTAATGACCTTCCATACAGAGAAGCATGAGGGCATTGTTGTTAAAAACGATTTCTCTTGTGTCTCTCCACACACATTTGCGAAATACTTTTTGCTTCAAGAACGGCCCCACAGAGCAGACTCAGACCTGGATCTGTGGTGGTCTTTCTCGTCCATGCCGAGGTTGAACCGGTTCAGGGTCTCCTCAGAGACCTCCTCGGGCTCCTCAGGCTCCTCCAGCAGCTCCTCCGTTTCCATCTTCGTTGAGCTCCGGCGGTAGTTTTCCAGCTCGATCCTCTCCGGCATTGTCGCCACCATCACAGAAACCACTGCTGACAAACCAGCACGGCCACGCACACACACAGACACACACAGAAACACACACACACTAAAGCACCACAAGTGAATCCAGTTTAAGGAGCGCGCTCAGGTGTGAACAGGTATGAAAGTCTGAAAGGAAAACGCAGGTGATCCGAGCTCACCTGAGGAGCGACGACCGCTGGCAGAGATCAGAGACTCTGAACCCAGAGACGCCTGTGGAGAAAACAAACACTCTGAGTTTTTACATTTCTTTACATGCTCTCATTGTAATATTTTGAACCTCTGAACCTTTATTAGACGGAAGGTTTTCTTACGATGGACGCTCGGTGTGAAGTCGGTTTGTTCCTCAGACGAGAGTCGTAGTGCTGAAGACAGTAAAACCTCCCTGAGACAGCAGAAGAAGAAACATCAGGACAGATGTGTGAACGCTTAAACGTCATCCTGTTTTTATACCAAAAGTCAAACCGAGTCCCGCCTCACACTTCAAATAACTCTGGTCATGTGACTGCTCCGCTTTGATTGGCTGCTGAGAAAGTTCAGCAAACAAACAAGTCAAGCTATCATGTATATAGAGTGTATAACACACACACACAGTCTCATTTTCATCACGTTAGAGGGGATTACATTGACTTGCATTCATTTCCTGGAGGCATACCATTAACCCTCCACCCCACCAACACACACACACACACACACACACACACACACACACACACACCATCATGTAGCTAATCAGTGAACTGTGGTGAACAGCAGATCAGAGTGAAATCACCCTGATGATCCAGGTTCTGCCGTCTGACAGCCGTCATCATAAACATGTGATTCACTGATAATAACTAAATATTTAGAATAACGCTGAAGATCTACTTTATTGAAAAAACGTTGAAGCAGTTTTGTTGATTCTGTTATCCAGTTAACATGATCTAGTTAACGATCTAGTTAACATGATCTAGTTAAC